AAAAGAAAATGTGCTTTTTAGAAAGGGACCAGATCTTTTCAGTTTCTAAGTTTATCTTTTATGACTGATATTACTCAGCTGTGACTTTATTGACCAGTAGAAAAGGCAGAGCATTTTGTGGACCTTGGACAAGAAAGGAAAAATGGAAAAGAGTCCATGACCAATATTCTAAAATCTGACTTATTCCTAACTTCAGTATTTGGGATGCCTTATTCATGGAGCATCAAAAGTTTTCAAAGCTTTATACACACAGTCTGCCACTCCTGCCCTACCAGTCAAAAGATTACAATCAGTCTAGCATTTACTCTTAATAAAAAAAATTATTTTCTGAATTTTTCACTATAAAATACCTTAATAACTCTCTGTTCTACTACAGTATCCAGCCATTCAATAAAAGCTTCCACGGTGGCATTCTTCTTGAGGAGATCCTTCAGTTCTTGGAACACAGTGATGGAGTCATCTGCCAGGATAAAAAGAAAGAAAGATAGAAAATACAGAATATTACATTCTACTTTAAACACAAGAAACAAAGCTAAAACTAGGAATCGTTACTAGTTTGACAGGTAAGAGGGAAAGACAGATAGATTAAGTTAAATATGTAAAAGGTTACTTTCATATCCTGAGAACTGTAACAAATATATTTTTAGTAGTCTGCTCTTCAAAGATTTAATCATGTGTATATATCTTAATATGTATTGAAATATAGGTTTATTTTATATATGCATGCATATAGTATGGAAGAGTAAGTTATTCATATAGTTGAATATTGAATCTATTGCTTTCATTAAAAGGACCAGATTAATTGAAAGCTAATGACTGAACCAAGCTAAGCTTATTAACTTCCTGCTTTCTGAAATATCCTTTATCTTTAGTAAAATTTAAATTTTGTTCTGCAGGATTGAGCCATTTTAATGAGCAACCTTTTATCATAACATTTAAAGGGACAGTTTAGGACTATCATTTTATTGAAGAGTTTGAGATTTATTCTATAGCCTATAAGTTGTATTTTTTGTTGCATTTTTGACTTTTCAGCGAAAAAGGGTATAAAAACAGTGACTGTCATCTCTTAGAAATCAAGCCTAGTTATCTAGTCACACATATTGACTTCATAAACTCTGATGGCCCAAACCAGAGTAGAAAACCCACTTTTAAAAACAGTACTGTGCTGAGATATCATTTTGATACATATCACACACCATATGATGGCAAGAGTGTAAAACACATACTAAAACACTATTTTGATTATTTTCAAGTTATTTCTATTTTGTTTATTTTTAAGAAATGAGATAATAGATTGTTTTTATTTTTCTCGTATTTTCTACATTTTCCAAGTTTTCACAATAAGTACGGCTCTTTTTGAATAGAGGATATACATTTTTATTTAAAATGTTCCTATAAAACAAGGTGTTTTTGTTTTTCAATTAACTGTGATTTTGCAGCCCAGGGACATCTGGTAAAGCCTGAAGATAACGCTGTCTCAAGTGGGGAGAGGCTGCTATTAGCATCAAGTGGGTAGAGGCCAGGAATCTGCTTAACATCCTACAATGCGCAGGACAGGCTCCCACAGCAGCATTCCGCAGCCCAAGATGTCATCACTGCTGAGGTGGGAACCTCTGAAGAGAATGGACTTACGTTCAGTGTAGATATCAGATTCAGCATCTGAGCTGCCCGAAATAGTAAGAAGGGCCTGAGATCCAATGCTATTCAAGTCAACCCTTTCAATATCAGACACCATAGAATTCACAACATGCTGGTCAAAGAGAGCTGGTCTGGCAATCTGCATAGAAAAAGTAAAAACGACATTACATGTCATAATTTATAGTCTACCTATAGGAAAGTTTTAGTTTTAGCTTTGAGAAAAATAGTTCCTTGAGGTAAAAATATTATAAATAACTTTTTGCTTATTTTAAAGCTAAAAGCAATAGTTGCAATACTTGTAATTATCCCTGTTAAAGATCTGAAATTATTTTTAGACTTAGAAAATGAAAATAATTTGTTTTGTCCATGGTCACAAATAAGAATTTTTAAATGTTGCATTTCTGATCCAAGCTAGTCTTTTAAAACTTAAGGGGCAAGAAAACTTCATAAAGCAACCAATCGTGTAGATGATAGTAATGGCATATTTTAACAATATGCAAATATAATATTTATAATTTATAAATTAGTTTTGTTCTCCTCTATTTAAGAGAGCCATAAGTAGTAGGCAGTTAAAATGTGTTGGGTTTGTGAGTTTCACATCAGAATCACTTGTACCTACTGGATTCACAGGGCAAACAAGTATTTTTCATTTTGATTGCATTCAGAAGTTTTTTTAACTTTTTATTTTGAAATAATTTTAAATCACAGAAAAGCTGCAGGATAGAACAGAGTATTTTCATATACTCTCCACTCAGTTTTTTATCATCTTATATAACTATTGTATATTACCAAAATCAGAAAATTAACATTGGTACAATACTATTAAATAAAACTGCATGCATAATTCAAATTTCACCATTTTTCTCACTAATGCCTTTTTTCTGCCCTAGCACTTACTTTAGGGTCACAAATTGCTTTTAATTGTTGTCTGTCTAGTTTTCTTCAATCTGTGCAAATTTCATAATAATTTTTTATTGGAAGATTCATTTTCGATTTGGTGACTCAAGTACTCTTGGCTTACCAACGTACCTGAGCAAGATGTAAGAAAGAGGTTTGTCGTTTCAGAGAAGATACAAATCTTCGCACAATAGGTATTTTCTTGTCAATTAGGGCTTCTGGCAAGTTTTCCAGGGATGAAACAACCCACTGTTCCCAATTTTTAGCAAAATTTCTTATGTCTGCTAATAAGCTACAAACAAAACTATGTGTTAAATGTTTCATTTTTAAAAATGCATTAAATAATAGTATTTTAGTTGAGTTATTCTATTATCCCATGATTCCAAGAACATGACTTTTGAAGCCTAGGTATGCCATTTATCATCTTCGTCGAAATACCCAACCACCTCAAGCTCCAGTTTTCTCGTATGTTAAATGGGAATAAGAGTAGTATTTGTGTCTCGGATTATATATTATAGTGAGAATATTATGAAATAAGTCATGGAAAGTGCCCAGGGAAAGCATGGCATGAAGGGACCACTCAATAAATAATACTTTATTATTAATATGAACTCATGATCTAGTCATTTTTAAAAACAATTATGGGAAAATGTGCGTACTTTTTACATATTTTAGATTCTTGAGAGACATTCCACTGGGATCACAATATCATTCCATGTATCTAATTTTAGTTTCTAATAACATATTCTTGTAATCCAAATATAATTTGGGGGATGAATTATCAAAAGCATACTAAATGTAGAAACCAATTTAGAAAATAGCAAATGTTGGTTGTGTATATACACACTCACACACACAACTATGTCTATGAGAACATATGAAAATGTTAAAAATCAGTCAAAATGTACATATTTTATTTCAATAAAGCAAATCTAAATATATCTGGGGTGTTACATCTGTTAGCACACAGTGACATGGTACAGGAAAGAGAGTAGGCAGAGTTTGGAGTTAAACAGACTTTGAAATTAGGGCTCTGCTTTTTACTAATTAGCTGCCTCTGAGAAAATAAATTAACTTCTTTCTACTCTCACTTTCCTCATTTGTGAATTTTGGATCATAATTGCTACTCTGAAATAGTCAGACAGGTTGTTAACAAAAATGCAATTACCTAATAATAAAGAATTGGCTAAATATGATATTCACCAATGCTGAAAAATTATGCAACCATTTAAGAGATAATGTAGATCTATATTTATTGATATGGAAAGATTTTTACAGTATACTGTTAAGTATATATATCATGGTTTCATTTTTAAAATGTATGTATTTACAGGTTTTCATAGAAACAGCCTGTGAGATTATAATCTAAGACATTTAAAATGTGATGAGATTATGTGATTTTTAAATGTGCTTATGTATAGTGTGTATGTTTTTCATTTTCTACAATAAACATAAATTTCTCACATACTTAAGATATATATAAATATATAAATAGTTCCTCTTAGACTTGTGTAGGCATTAAATAAAGACTCAGAGTCTATGTTGTGTTTAATAGAGGCCAGCCATTGTTACTATTATAAATAGTCACATGACTGGGTACCTCCCACTAAGTAAGCTCAGTCATATTGCTATGATAGAGAAGTGTTAGATGTATCTGATTCAGAGTAGAAATGAGGTGTTTAAAAACTAAAATTGATAATTAAAAGAAATTATTGGCCAAGCCAATACAAAATATTATGTAAATAAATAAAACAATCTAGAAGAAAAGGTAAATCAAAAATAAAATTTGTTTTATCATGCTAGACATGGTTGCTCATGCTTGTAATCCCAACGCTTTGCTAGGTGGAGGCGAGAGGTTTGCCTGAGTCCAGGGGTTCGAGACCAGCCTGAGCAATGTGGTGAGACCTCATCTCTACCATTCATCAAAAAATTAGCCAGGCGTGGTGGCGCATGCCTGTGGTTCCAGCTACTTGGAAGGCTGAGGTGGAAGGATCACCTGAGCCCAGAAGGTGGGGGCTGCAATGGCCATGAGCATGCCCCTGCACTCCAGCCAGGGTGACAGAGTGAGACTCCAACTCAAAAAAAATTGTTTTATCAGTTAACATCTACTTACTGAGTACCAACTATGTCTAGCCCTTCATAAAATTGTGCCCATAAATATTAAATAGATTGTATTATTTCATTAAACTTTGTTTTCAAATAAAAATTTTACTTTTTTCAAGTTTCTGTTATTCTCGCATCAGAAAAGTGTTTGTGAAAAATCTTCAAGTATCATTTCAATAAACTATTTGGAATTGTATTCCTTTGTTAAAAAAAGGCAGTAATTTTACCATGCCACTTTCTGATTTTGCAATTAAGACCCAAGTTAATAGTGAAAGATAATAATTTCCTCTATCATTTTAATTATTATGGTTATTTTCCATCAATTATCCTCATTTATAATTCTTCAGCTAATTTCCATTAAAGAACTTTCTTAGTATCTTGAAGGCCAATGGTACTTAAATATCTATTTTTTCACTTTGGTCTCTCTCAAATTAAAGAGATTTCAGGTTTGTTTCACATGTTTTGTTTATTGAGATTCAAATATAAGGACTGATGTACGTCTCTCACATCTAATCCAAAGAGACAGAAGTAGTAAAATAATCTTATTGATAAATGAATAAATTACTGCCTAATGTTTTCTTTTCATATAATGTATAAGGTGAAACATTATACTAAGAAATAATCATATTTTATTAACTGAACGTACCTTTCAGGCATTTCTTGCATGGTTGCAGGAATGAGTACATCTGTAAGAACCTTAATCATAGCAAAAGAGAGTTAACATAAATTTTTACTGAGTATTTCTACAGAAAGACAAACTATTTGTCAATTACTTTTTCTTCTTAGCTCCCTAGAGAATAACATGTTAAATCCTTTCTGCAAGTTATAATTTTATCTCTAAAATAAGTGTACATATGAGTCATATGTGAGTGTGTATGAGACAGAAAAATGAGACAATATTGTGTATGCCCTGTATGTTAATTACCAGTGAACTGACCATGGTGCTCATGGACTCATGGATGAAAAGCTGACCACTCTTGAGGGGTGTGACGAATACAGAAGCTCATTTTACACCGTCCTTATAGTGCTCACTGTGCCTTCCTGGGCCTGCTGTAAGAAGATAGGATCATTTAAAGATACTTAAATCTAGGACTTTTGTGTGGCACTAAAGAAAAAGTAGTTGATTTGGAGGAAAAAGTGTGTCCTGAGGGTGTTTCTTGGAGGAGTTGAATGACCACCCAAACAACTCTGCTTTGAGATGGTAAATGTCAATGCACAAGCTCCAGGTCTTTTCTGATACTCACTCTTGGAGTAACCTCCTTTCCCCCTCTAGTGCTTTCTCAAGTTTAGCATTACAGTCATTTAGTGCAAATCAAATCTTTTCTCCAGAAATAATGGCACTCATATTCTATCCAGAAAGAAAGAAAGAAAAAAAGACAATCCTTGCGCTCCTTTTCCTTTCTTTAATTAGAACTCCAAGCAAAGAATATGCTGCACGTACCCCTCATTTTCTTATTGTGTGATGAGGGAGAACTGAGCAGAGCATGAAAATAGGTGGTCCCTTACTCCAGCTCAGGCCAGCCTATCGGTTCTTGGTCGGTCAGCAAAATCGCGTCTAAACTGAGTCTACCTAGATTCTGCTTCACTTTTCTGCAAAGTTGAGAACCTGATAGTGGCAACTAGCTTAAAAGGATTTTATTTCCTAAATGCTTAACAGGAAATAACTTGGGTTTTCTTGCCAACTCGGATTTTTTTTTTAAAGCAGAGCTTTTGTTTTTCCTTATGATAATTTAGCAGGTAAATGTAGGCAAACTGGCTTTATCATGCCCAGACTGCAATATAATTTTATTCTCCCTGCTTGGGCTTTGTTGCTGCTCTAATCAGGGAAGAGACTGATGGCAATCCACCTCTCTCCCTTGTCTATTAAATGTTTAGCTAGAAGGACAACAAGCTCACCCTTATTCAGAATGTCTTTGTGAACCTTCTGTAGACAGCTGAGGACTCTTGTTTGGTTTGAGAACAGAATTAGACATGAATGCATTAAAGCTAGAGTTTTCAAGATTTTTCAAGTGAGTAATCCCATGAGCGTACCTAATCTGCTTTACTCCAAAACATTGATGTTGTGAAAAAGTCAGTGTTATTTTAATCTGAAGACACCTTGAAAAGTTAATAAATATTAACTGCTTTCATATTAGTAAGCCACATTTAGAATGTTTAGCTGTAAACAGAAATTTTGTTTTACTCAATGTAATCTTTTATTAAAATGCTATTCAATATGTACTAAGTGCTTGTTTCCTCATCAGAAAGAAAGAGAGTATATCTCCAGCCAGAAATAACAAAGTTATTGTAAGAATTGTTATTGTAAGAATTTCTCCTATTTGGAGAAATAAATGGTTCATGCTTAAGACGCCTCAAAGAGCTTACCTTATAAAGAATTGAGTCACAAACGCAGAAAATGTCGATGATGACAGGGTTTTCGAGCAAGGGAAGAAGGTGATCAGGCATGCCTTGCCAAAAGTGTAATAGGAAATGCTGGATCTAGGTGCAGAGCAAAAAGCATGCATGGTAAGACTCTCCCCTAGCAAGAACTCAGTAGGAACAGAACTTGAAAGCATGTATAATATGACCCACAAAACATTCTGTGTTACCCTTACCTCTTCAAAGTTTCCGTTAATTGCATTGTCCAGGATACACTGGCAGTGAGTTTTGTACATCATTATGAGAGTATCAACCTATTTCAAGGAAGAAAAATCTTAACCAAAGCATTCTTTTAACACTGCCTTCATTGGTTCATTTGTTCAACACACATTTTGCAAGCTCCTATTATGTACTAGGCAGTGTGCTCAATGCTGGTGTCTCAAAAAATAAAGGGGAAATCCTAATTTCAAGGATCTTGCTGCTTTGTGAAGAGGAAATTGACCATCACATTATAGCATGATATGAACAATGAAAAGGATAATCATGTGGGAAATTGTGGGCCAAGGCAACATCCTAATGTTCTGCCTAATAAGAAAATTACATTTGGTTGGAAAAATAGACATAAATAAAACTCATCAACTCCTCACACAGTTTTATTAAGTGGAGGCAGAGAGCAGTGTGGCATAGCGGTTTCAAGTTTTGGTTTGGAGTCAGTGAGCCTGAGCGCACTGCTCCATAGCACCACTCACTAAGTGTAACTATACAGATTGCTGTGACTCTGCACCCCCAGCTTTCTATCTTTAAGTAGAAATAGCATATTATTCATATGATATTAAGAAATATCAATAAAATATTTATCTATTGAGCAGTTTGACAGATTAAATCAGTAGTTAGTTAGCTTAATATTATATATACCTGAATCTTAGTGTAGTTAAATGTCCTTTTAAAAACAAGTTCAAGCTATCCTGAACATTTACCATAATACTATAAGAAAGGGATTGACTGTAGCGGAATACTGCCAGGGCAAGAGGGAGGGGTCAAAACATCAGTAAGGGTATCTGATCTCAAACCAGGCAAAGTAGGGACCAGAGGGAGGCCCAAACTTTACCTGTACAATGACCAATTGTATACCTAATCCTGACTTGTACCCTGCATCTTTAAAATTAAAAATTTTTTAAATAGGAAAAAAAGAAATATCAATAAGATAAGACGTGATACACAGTGCCTGGCACTCAGTAAAACCTTGTTAAATTATTGCCTTGAATTAGCAAAAATACTAAATGATGCATTTACCAAAAGAAAATTCAAATATTGAGAATCTATTATGAAATGTCTCTATTTCCAAGTTACCATGAATTTGTATTGTATGGTTTTAAAAGTTTTAAATATATTCCAGAATTTGCAATAGATGTGAACTAGATAATATTCTAGCAATTTAAATATATTCAAACTAAGACTTTTATTTTCTGTGCCAGAAATACTGTTGGCTAGTTGTGTGCTGTATATGAAAAGGAGCACAGCTTAGCAGTTAAAGGTATGGTTTTGCCTTTAGATTACCTGGATTTGAATCCCGGCTCTGATCTGCTACCTGCTTGTTATGTAAGCAAGTGGCATTGGGCAAGATACTTGATATTCATGTGCTTTAATTTCCTCATCGATAAAATTGACATGGCAATAACGGTAGCTATCTAATAGGGTTGTTATTAGGACAAAATTAATTAACAAATATAGTGTTGGAATAATCCATAGTACATGTAAAGAAACTGACAGATGTCAGCTATTTTGATCCCAACAGCACCTATGGTGTTGGTGGTGATGAGGGTGTCCTATTCTAACCCTTTGCATTCCACCCTTCATTGCTGCATCCTGGGGGAGAGGGGAGGGGGGAGAGGCACACATCTCTTTGGTCTAGCTCTCAGCTGTGTAATGATGACATGAAAATCACCAATTCACTTCCAAGGAGATACACTGACTGCTAGACACCTTTAGCAGGGTAAGACAGCATCGATGCAAATGAGACTTTCTCTATACCCTGGGCAATGCTGTTATATTTTTAGATGCATCTTCAAGTCATGCATTTTAAATGAGGATAAGGAGAACATAAACGATGAAAGGAAAGTCATAACTGTTGTCAAAAAGTAACCTTTGTGTGTGTATCCAAAAGAATTGAAATCAATGTATCTAAGAGATATCTACACTCTCATATTCATTGCAACATTATTTACAATAGCCAAAATAAGGAATCAACCTAAGTGTTTATCAGTGGATGAATGGATAAAGAAAAAGTTATATATATATTACATATATATATTATATATATATGTAACAATAGAATATTATTCGCCCATTTAAAGCAACATGGATGGAACTGGAGGTCATTATGTTACATAAAATAAACCCGGGAACAAAAAGATGAAGATTGTATGTTCTCATACGTGGGAGCTAAAAAAGTGGATCAAATAAGGTAGAGGGTAGATTGGTGGTTAGCAGAGGCTGGGAAGGGTAGGGGGAAGTGGGATTGAAGAGAGGTTGCTGAATGTATACAAATATACAGTTTGATAGAAGAAATAAAACCTAGTGTTTGACAGATCAGTAGGGTGACCAGAGTTTACAATAATCTATGTATATTCAAAATAGTTAAAAGAGACTAATTCATGCTTCTAATATAAAGAAAAGGCAAACATTTAAGGTGATGGATATCCTAAACATACTTATTTTATCTTTACAAATGATATGACGGTATTAAATTATCACGTATCCCCAAAATATATAAATCTATTATGTATCAATTTAAAAGTTTTAAAAATTAATCTTTTGAGTCCTGAAACCTACTAAAGCACAAGTAAGCTTTTATCTTCACAAGTATGTCTATTTATTTGTGTCAACATGTATTGTTTTATATACAAATCACCAAAAATGTTCAGTGTTACTATTAGTACTTCATTTGTTTAATACTTACATACTCTTAGAACAAAAATTGTAATTGTATTATACTTTGCACCCTTGGCAAACATAATTTCACTCACTTTTTCTGAGAACAGACATCACATTAGAGAGAGCAGGAGTGGAGGCAAGACTTTGCTCCGTTAGCAGCAGGGAGCGTGTGACGGAGGTGACACTGTGCTCAGTCAGAAAGCCGGCCCCCCACTTCAACCAGCACCTCATACCGGGGTCAGCTGTTCACTGGGCGGTCTTCATTCTTCCTGCCTTAAAGTAGCAGGTGGGTGCAGCCCAAGCCCTCCTTCTTGGAACTGATAAGTTACCTGGGGAACTTAGCTTCTGGCTAAGGAGGTGAAAGGGTTAGGCTGTCTTCGAGGACAAAGAGGAGTGTGAGTCCCTGGTGCTCATGCTGGAGTCCCTTGGGAATGAACTTTAAAACCAAGGGTATTATAAGCATCCTGAGAGTTGAGTGACCAATGATTTCCAAACCTGTCTTTTGGATTGGCAGATAAGAAATTCCCTGGAGTCCAGCAGAGAAATTGAAATAAACTTTTGGAACCTGTTTCTCACCTCTCTTTTCTTTGTTGCTCGCCCTCCCTTTCCCTCTCTCTCACCAGGGATATTTGCACAGTAAACATCTTCATGATAAGGTTGGGTGTAAGCCATCCTCTCTACAAAGTAACCCAATAATACTCTCCCCCAAAGAACTGAGACTCCACCAATTTCCACAGGCTTCCTCACAAACTGCCATGTTAACATATTCTGGTGATTTCTCAAACATAAAGTCATTATATCACATATATATGTTTATCAGCTAAAAAAATTTTGTGATAACCTTGAGAAATATGATGGAAAAGGAGAATAGAAGGAAGTGGACATACTTCAGGAGACGCACTTGGAATTGGTATCTTAGAATTATCTTCAATATTTTGCCTATTCTTAACAGGCAGAGTGTATCTGTCATGAAAACAAACCCTGTAAGTTGCTGTGCATCTCTATCGATAAACTTCTGAAAAAATAAATTTGCTGTTTTTAATTTCTTCTTTTAACAAAAAGCCCATTACTAAAGTAATATGGCTAAAACCAGTTAATTATATTCCTCTTTTTGACCATCAAAATATAAAATGGCTCAATATAACATAAAAGATGTTTTCCTCAAATGCTAATTACAAATGAACTTTAATTGAAAGAAAAATGTAGAAATCATTATGCTTTGATCCATTAATGATTCCTGATATTAAATAGCCAATAAATCCCTAACAAATGACTCTCAAGGACAGAAATAATAGAGGATTTAGTCTTAGACGTTCTTACACAAGCGTTAAAAAGTCACATTGAGGATTATTTATAAACTAAATCTAATGAAAAGTTTTTTTAAATGCTAATGTAGAAGAGCACAGAATTTTAGCAGTGAAAGGAGCCTTTGTAATCATCTGGTGGAGTTCTTACATTTACCTAGGTATCTCCCCTCAGTACTAGGGACCTAGATTCTAGATATATACTTGTTGACTATTTATTGGAATAAAATAAAGAAAATCGAAAACATAAATTTTTAATTGAAGAAACTGCATGTGATAGACACATTCTAGTATTTTCTTCCTCCCTGGAGTTTTAACTAGAAAATAATCTTTAGTCTTTTAAGGTTTATTTTACCACCTTCTGATTACATACTATCATGGAGATGGTAAATAATTAATTGGAAAGTGTTTAATCAATATTAGTAAACATTTGTCTCTCCTATAAATCAGTCGATTATGTTTGATCATGCAGCCTCCTGACTGCCTCCTGCAGTGTGATGAGATTCCCAGCAAATTGACATATGGAACCGACATATCAGAAAGTCAATAGAGAAGTATCTTTAATTGATACCTTGTCCTTAGAAATGCATCCTTGGTACACAAGGTGTTGAGCGCTAGGGAATTCTGGAAGAAGTGTTCCAGTTTTTGAGCTAAGCGAATATTTACGAGTGAAGCCACCCTATAATTTGGAAAAATGAAAACAAATAAATCATTATCAACTATATGCCTCCAAAATACAATTCTAATAAAATACAAACCCATAAGATTTAATTCTTCTGCACCTTACAAACCGTGAGAAATTAGGAGATTTGAGTAAACTATTTATACTGTGTAACTGAATAACCTAGACACGTCAGCCAAATAACAAGGTTTTTTTCCCCCAAACCTTAAACAGCTTCATAGTTGGGATATTTTTCCTCACTTTGGATTTCAATTTTGGATATTTGTCAGTTTCCATAACTTTTTAGAAATTTAATTTAAGTTCACACTTGTTAATGACATAAATTTTGGAAGATCTACATTTGGAACTATTGAAATTATTTTAACTACAAGAGTATTAGAAATTACCAGATTCAACCTTCTCCTCTACAGATAAGTAGATGAAATGATTAGCAGTTGATTAATTTATCCAGTATCAGGGATAATTACTGGAAGAATTTTAATTAGAGTCTATGTCTTCTAAATCCCAAATTAGTACTCTGGACTCTGTCACATCAACCTTTCTTTATCCTAAATTCAGGTATTTGTTGTTCTTTCACATCTCTTGGGGAAATCACCCCATGAATCGCTTTCAGAAAATTAGAAAAGTAACAAACAACTTACAATGCTGCTGGGTTGATATAACTACAAAACACCTACACAGCTGGGTGTTGTGGATCACACCTGTAATTCCAGCATTTTGGAAGTCAGAGACAAGAGTACTACCTGAGCCCAGGGGTTGGAGACCAGCCTGGGCATCATAGGAAGACCTCATCTGTACAATATACATGCATACATAAGCTGGCCATGGTGGGGCACACCTATGGCTCCAACTACTTGGAAGGCTGAGGTGGAAGAACCACATGAGCCCAGCAGATTGAGGTTGTGGTGGCCATGAGTGTGCCACTGCACTCCAGGCTGGGTGACACAGTGAGACTTCAGGGGGGCAAAAAAATCCACACAGAAGGGACAATGCATATTCATAACATAACTGGAGCCTCAGCAGGTCAGTCAGGCCATTACTGATTGGTCCTGCTCACAAACAAAATTTTAACAATTTTGATTGTAATCAAAAGTTAGGGCAAAGAATGAAATTGTGAATATAATAAAGAGAGTAAAGTGTCCCTGGCAAGAACAAAAATGCTATTTCCCATAGTTTTTCCACATTTATTTCTAGACTTTTTGTTTTTCTTTGTTTTGCTCTGTTGTTTTGAAAATATTTACTAGACAAAGCTTTATTACTGACATAGATAGGTTGGGTTCTTATCCTGACCTATTATTCCTAGTTTTTGTAGACGTTTTTAGACATCATAGTAGAGCTGAAAGGAATTGGGAGGACTTTTGAGTCTTTAAACAGCAGATATTTTAGAAGTACTGATTTCTGGCTGGGTGCAATGTTTCATACCATAATTCTAGTGATTTGGGAGGCCAAGGTGGGAGAATCGCTTGGGCCTGGGCAACATAGTGAGATTACAACTCTACAAAAAAAATACAATAATTAGCCAGGTATAGTGGCGCATTCCTGTGGTCCTAGCTACTTGAGAGGCTGAGGCAGGAGGATTCCTTGAACCCAGAGAGGCTGCAATGAGCTATGAGTGCACCACTGCACTCCATTCTGGGTGACAGAGCAAGACTCTGCCTCTAAAAAGAAAGTAAAATAAACAGTACTTATTTGTTATCGAGTAATTTTATATAAGATTTAAACAAATTTTACATTTGAAGTATAGTAGAAATTCATTTTTTAAAATTGGTTTTTAATTTTTAATCCTGTTAACCTCTATTTTCAAGTCTGAGTTATTCTGAGTAAATAATTTTTAAAAATTAACAACTATTACATCAGTAATCATCATAAATTGGTATAATAGCACAGCTGATTCCAACCTACTCTGTTTCTTAATCTGTCTTAACTCAGGATATGCTTCAAAGGATTTCAATCATTTGGACTTGCCATTTATGAGCATCAATTATCATTGCACTGTCAAAGAATGGCACTGTTAATAAATAGGGGAAAATGTAGAATGCAATAAAAGAAATAATTTAATATTTAAATGAAGGAAATTATGTGGCAAAATATGAAACTAACATCTGCTGGGTAATATAACAAAAATGTACCCTAATCCTAATTTTAGGAAAATTTACACATTTTGAATACTTTTTCTCTCAGGTGGAAAATCATCTTTCTCCATCTCAATATGTAATTTAGTGAGATATAAAAAAGAGAAATAAAGAATTATAAGCCAAAAAGAGATAATACATAGTGTTGTATTAAATTTAAATTTAGAAATAAGAGAACCACTAAAGAAATATAACTAGTATCAAAAATCTTTTCACACACACAAAAATAGGCCCAAAAGATTTAATGGGTGGCTTTTATCAAGCATTCAGGAAACAGATAATTTCAAGTTTAAAACAATTTTTTCTGACAATAAAAATAATAATCACTCTCCAATTCACTTGGAAACATATATGTCAAAACTAAACAAGAACAGAAAAATAAAGAATTTCACATATCACCACACACAGCAAAACAAAATACAGCAGGGTATAAGAATGATATTACACAATTTAGGTTCATATTCACCACAATATCAACAGGAAAAAAAGAAGAATACTAAATATTATGCAATCACCTCAACTGAAACAGAAAATGAATTTGTTTAAAATTCAACTCCTATTTTCTATCTTCTCTCTCCTAGGTGTGTGTGTGTGTGTGTGTGTGTGTGTGTGTGTGTGTGTGTGTGTGTGTGTGTAAGCTAGAAATAAAGGAACACTTAATCATTATACAAATTTTATTCAACTTTTCAGCTTACAAGAACAAAAAGGTCACAAGGCATGCAAAGAGAAAAATATGATACACTCAAAGGACCAGCCAAATGTCACAGAAAAGATCAGCTGTAAGACCTACTAAACAAAAGCTTTAAAACAATTATTTTGAAGATGCTCAAATAACTAAAGGAAGACATGGAGAAAGCCAAAAATAATGATTGAACAAAATGGAAATATCAACTAAGAGATAGAAAACCTAAAAAATAATTCTAGAGCTAAAAAATACAATAACTGAAATTTTAAAACACATTAGAGGAATTCAAAGGCATATTTGAGCAGGCAAAATAAAGAATCAGTGAACTAATAAAGAACAGACAACTAAACTTATTGAGTTTGAGAAACAGTAATAAAATAATTAAAGAAAAGTGAACAGAGCCTAAGGAACTTGTGGGACATCATCAAGTAGACCAACATATACATTGTAGGAGTTCCAAAAGGAGAAGAGAAAGATGAAAAGGAACAGAGAGACTATTTAAAGAAATAATGTCCGAAAACATCCCAAGTTTGATAAAAGAAATAAATATAAAGATCCAAATAGTGTGATATTCCAAATATGGTGAGCTCTAAAGAGACCTGCATCAAGGCACATTATAATCAAATTTAGAAGGACAAAGAATCTTAAAAGAGAGAATTGATTCATCACATATAAATAGGTCTCAATAAGATCATCATCAAATTTTTAATCATAAATTTTAGAGGTCAGAAGGCAGTAGACTGATATATTTAAAGTGCTAAAAGAAATAAACTATCAAACAAGAATTCTACCTCTGGCAAAACTGTCCTTTTTAAGTGAGGGAGAAATTAAGACAGTCCCAGATAAACAGAAGTTGGGTTAGTCACCACTAGACCTCCTCTGCAAGAAATGCTAAAGGGAGTCAGGTTGAAATAAAAGATCAGTGGACAATATCTTGAAAACACATGAAGAAATAAATATTTCAGCAACTATAAAAGCTAGTGTTAGCTGTAACACTATTCTGTTTTTTATATAATGTAATAGTCTAATACATTAAAATACAATAAGAATTCCAAGTATTTGCATAAGAAACAAGTTAACCTAATCAGAAAAAAAGAAATAAAATACATTTTAAAATAATTAACGTAGCCGGGCTCGGTGGCTCAGCCTGTAATTCCGCGCCTTTGGGAAGCTGAGGTGAATGGATTACCTGAGCCCGCAGGTTCGAGACCCGCCTGGGCAGGCGAGACCTCATCACTACAATAAATCAAAAAATTAGCCGGGCGTGGTAGCGCATGCCTGTAATTCCGGCTACTCGGAAGACTGAGGCGGAAGGATTGTGGAGCCCAGGAGGTCGAGGCTGTGGTGGCCGGGAGCAGCCACTGCACTCCAGTCTGGGCGACAGAGTGAGACTCCAACTCAAATAATAATAATAATAAATGTAAAAGCTAGTATTATTATAATTTGGGGTTTGTAACTCCATATTGTTTTCTATGCAATTTAAGAGACTAAGGCATCATAACAATACAACTATAGTATACACTTTTGGACACACAATGTATAAAGATGTTATTTTTGTGACACAATAACTGAAAGAAGTGATGACAGAAGTATAAAATAGCAGAGCTTTGTACGTTGTTGAAGTAAAACTGGTGCAAATTCTGATTAGAGTGTTGTAAATTCAAGATGCTAAATGATAATCAAAGAAAATATGCACAAGAGGAAATTAGAAGACAATTAAAATGTTTTATCATAAGAAAAATCAACTAACTCCCCCCCAAAAGATAGTTATATAGGAAATGAGGAGCAAAAAAGCTATGAAGCACATAGAAAACAAATAGCAAAATAATATAAGGAAGTTCCTCCTTATCAGTAATTAGTTTAAATGTAAATGATGAGTCAAACTCTCCTAGCAAAAGGCAGAGATTGGTAAAATGGATTAAATAAGAATGATCCAACTGTATGCCATCTATAAGAGACTATTTTTAGATATTCCATGCAAATACTAACAAAAAAATAGCAGGAGTGGTTGTACTAATATCAGACGAAATAGACTTTAAATTTTAAAAATTTATAAGACACAAAGAAGTACATTGTATGTTAACTAAAAGCTCAGTACAACAAAAAGACCTAACAATTATAATAATTTATGTACCTAACGACAGATAACCAAGATATATAAAGCAAAACCTGACAGAATT